TATATTGCATGGATGCGTTTGTTTTGTCCGTATATAGCAGAGAGCTCGGTGCCCGCGACTACCTTCCTGCTGAAACGGCCGCGGCGAAGGCCTAAGCCTACGAGGGTCGCGTCTCGGCGGGCTGAGAGCGAGAACCATCGATTGCGTCACCGGGGAGGGTTCTTGACGGGCCTCGCGACGAGTACGCGCGGCACGAGCTTGGATGCGGCAAGGAAAGCTGCTTGTGGCGCGGAATCATCCCGGCTCGGCCTAATTAGCCGCCCTCGAAGGGATGTTCGAGGTGACTTGCTGCACATAAGCCGATTGCGAGTGGAAGGTCGTTTTTAATTGACGGCGGGAAAGCACTTCTGCTGAGATAAAGAGTGGATATCAGACTCCAAGACGTTGAAGATGAAAAGATTTTGAACTTTTTTTTTTAATACAGGCAGAATCGGGAGATAAATTGGATGAGGAAAAGGGTTTTAGAATCATTGACTGTTGGGATAAGCTGATTAAATAAATCTTGAATGTCCAGTGCTAACGTGGACGTCACAGGCCGCCCCGTAGGAAGCAGCCGCCACACGTGTATGCCCCGAGGAGCCCGCCCGACGCCCAGTCATCGACCAAAATATTGTTAACGCCAGACTGGATCCGGGTGCTTCCAGAGTCGACGCGAGTGTGGAGTAAACGGGGACAAAAAGTGGAAACGGGCTGGAGTAATGGTCGGAAAATAGGCAGTAATAGCGAAAGGGAAATGTCGTAAACGCAATTATTATTTGCCTTCATGTGCATGTATAAGGGAGTCTGTTTCACAAGAGTGTATCCTGTTTCGTTAACTAATTTCCCTGTCTTTCGTTGTGGTTATTTTATAATTTTTGTTTACATTTTCTGTCTGGGCGTTTGTTAATAAGGAAAATCCATCGAACGTCTAAGCTTCTGAGACTCCTGGTAAAACTTCCTTGGGAGATAAATGGCTCTCAGAAACGCCAAAATATAAGCGCTTGGTTATTGCTTTTTTATATCTGGATTTGGGAAGATGAACAGAAAATCATTCCTTTGAGAAGAACATCACCAACAAACAAATCCCGGGCACAAGAAAACGAGGGAGATATTATCAGTTGACAGGTTCGGTCACTCTTTCTTTCGACGGAGGTCATTGTACTTGGTGCCCTCTCGCGGCCGCGGAGGAGAGGCGTAGGAGCCCGCGCTCGCTGGGTGGAGACTCTCAATGTATTGGAGTAAAAACGGAGATAAAACTCGAGTCGGGAAATGAACATTATATAATCTGATTAAAGGACAAGGAAAGCTGGAAATGTTGGTTGGTTTTATGCTTTGGGAGGATTTCTGACTTAAGTGTTCTAATTTACACACACACACACACACACACACACACACACACACAAATAAATAAATAAATAATAATAATAATGTGAGCTGTTTTGGGGATCAAATGTCTAAACATGTAGAAGACAGACTGCACACAAGAGGGAGACAGACAGACAGACAGACGCAGACAGACATACAAACAGACAGATACAGAGCGTGTTCGAAGATGCTCTTATTTACGAAAGCGTTGTTGTGGAGTAGTGCTGGTAGCGAGGACGTCTGGTCACAGGATCGCATAACCGATAAGTAAATCCTGCCAGTGGAGATTTTCATGGTTGCCAAAGTGTAGTTAAATACGACATAGTTACCAAGCACGACAGGTCTGGGCAAGACTGCTCTGCTTAGATGGTAAAGCAGAGGTCAGTAAGCACGACGGCTTTGATGGGGGCGAGTTTCTCAAAAAAGAAAGAAAGAAAAAAAAAAAGAACGAAGAGCAGAAGAAAAAAATCAAGAGAAGAGCGAGGACCCAGTTTTTGTGGCAGTGACGCCCGTACCTTGGAGCCCTCACACCTTCCCACCGCTCATGTATACATACCCTGATGTATTCATGTATTCAAATCCGTATCTTCATTTCCATAGAAACCAATATTTAAATTCTATTCGAAAGTACACTCTGTGGAAGACGAAGAAAATAATGATAATGCCCTAACTTAATACGATATGCTGGGAAGTTGCTATAATTGCGGCCAAGAGTCCAGAGCGCCTCCGTGGCTCGCCTTCGCACCGCCACATTATTCCTTATACGTCCCTGGGCATCGGCGGCGCCGCTGACCAAGGGCCAAGGGCTGCCGCATTCAGCCCACCGCCAATGGCACGTGGAAAGCCAGGGTCCTCGGGGACTCAGCCAGGGCTCCAGCGATGAAAGAACTCAACGAGGGGACGCGTTCAGCGGGTCGACGAGGCGTGGCAAGGTACGGCGTCAACTATTGCAGCCGTGGAAATTCCATGACAATTTTCGAAGTTGACGTGTCTGTTAGTTGAAATATATGTGGACTGCAGGGAGTGATAATGAACGTTGTGGAATGGGCTGAGACAGATGCAAAATTTACAAAGATACAGCTTTTGGTACTAGTACTTGCTATGCGCTTGAAAGATCAAAATATAACATTCCTGGCTTTATTTTACCTTCAGAATGTCATTCTACGTATATGAGATTGCAGGAGGAACGGTTACTTGCAACATATAGACTGCACAAAGGAATTACAAACAATAATTCGTGCACTATCATCTCAGAGAAACTAGTAATCGTGTTGGCATCATATATAATTTCCGGGAAATATCGGTTTCAGCTTTAGGATGTTATTAAAGTTGAGTTCTCCCGCCCACCTCGAGACGGAAGAGAGCCCGAAAGGCCAATAGACTCCAAGACGCTTCCACGCAATTGCGAAGACGCGGCTACTCGGTCACTCCCGGAAGGGGGAATGTGACGAAGAAGGGGCTGTCGGTGGACGCAGTGAGGCGAAGAAGTGTCGTTGAGTCTTGGTATCAGGAATCCGCACTCGCGCCCGGCGGACCCTCTCCCGCTCGCCCCGGCCTGCGCGTGTCGACCCCTCTTCGCAGAGGGACGTGGGGAATTGCTTTAGGTTTCTACAAACGTTTGCATGTGTTCGATGATTTAGAAAATGTAATTAAGTACCGTCCCTTTGTGAATGTAATTTCCCCAAAATGATTTAGTTACACAACCCGAGTAAAAGCAAAAGGAAAGAAGGGAAATGAAATACACAGCAAAGGTGTTGGACATGATTTTGAGGCAACCCATCAGGCGCCGATTCACAGATAATCCCAAACACAATGTTATTCCCCGTGTACGAATTTAGGGAAAAAGCTGCCTGTGATTTCCCTTTTGTTTTGCATGATTTATCTGGGTGTTTAGCATAAATCTCACCCGGGACATCCGTGCCCTAGGGACGGAAAAGTAAAGTAAATCCATGGAAGTATTTCGGGATGTACTAAATATTCTCTCTCTCTCTCTCTCTCTCTCTCTCTCTCTCTCTCTCTCTCTCTCTCTCTCTCTCTCTCTCTCTCCTCTCTCTCTCTCTTCTCTCTCTCTCTCTATCTATCTATCTATCTATCTATCTTTCTCTTTCCTCCCTTCTCTCTCTTTCTCTCTCTCTCTCTCTCTCTCTCTCTCTCTCTCTCTCTCTCTCTCTCTCTCTCTTCTCTCTCTTCTCTCTCTCTCTCTCTCTCTCTCTCTCTCTCTCCCTCTCCTATCTAGTTTCCTTTTCTTCCCATTCTCCTACTTCCGTACTTCCCTTCTCTCCCTTACCCCCCCTCTCCCCTTTGCTCTTTACATGAATCTGCGTATCTGCATTTACTGCTCGTGTACATGTAATGAAAAATCTATATATATTTATTTTATTCACTAAACACATCTGTTCATTTTTTATATGCAACGAATTAAGCGCAGGCATTTTTAAATACTCGTTTTTTTCCGGACTTACATTTGAACCATTTCAGTGTGTAAAACAGATCAGTAAGTCACAAGAGAGGAACGCGTTTCTTATCCAACTAACAGTCGGCAGTAAAAATCTGGTTTAACAGGGTTTTAGAATTCCTCGGTTTGTTTTATGGTTGGTGAGCAAAGGACCTCCCTGTCCGCGTCCCAGAAGGAAGGGGGCGAGGAAGAGGAGAGGGAGTTCGCCTTATCAGAGAGACAGGTCGTTAACGCTATCTGGGGTGTATCGCAAACTCCGCCGGCCTATCCGTTTCAGTTTGTGGTTCGCGGCTGCCAGGCGCTCACCGACGTTCGGAACATCTCGACGACAACCTCGAATATGTATGGGGAGCCGAGAGGAGCCCCGGGGAAGCCGTCTCCATCGCGGTTTCTAACTCATCATGAATTTCCTTTTTATGCATTCCAAGCCTTTAGTAGATCCGCTTTATGGGCACTTTAGATCCTTCGTGGAACTCATTGTGTTGGGAACGACTTGGAAGTCTAGCTATGTATAACTTAGCTGTTGAGTTAGATGCACAGTAGTCATTCCTCGGTACGACACACTTATAAACAAAAAAGTCCCTCATCTTTCTTCAAAAGGTAATTGCGTTGCACAAAAAGCTTTAATACAAGATTTTATGAGAATCTAGCCTCGGAGCCTCGCATCATCTCGCATGCCGTCATTTCTCAGGCATTCTAATCCGCTGCCTCGTTTTCAAAGAACTTACTAGAGATCTTTGAGGATTAGTTTGTTCCAGTGATGAATGATTAATAAACCTGTGATACCTCATGTCTTTTCTCACCATGGATTATGTTAAACGGCTGATCTTGAAGGCGACATAACTTCGGAAATGCGATCGTGTCTGTTCTAAGACGGCGCTTTCTTTTGCATTTTATAGTGTTACCAGGAGTCTTAGATTATCAACACATGAGATTTTACGTATTATATTATATATATATATATATATATATATTATATATATATTATATATATGTGTGTGTGTGTGTGTGTTGTGTGTGTGTGTGTGTGTGTGTGTGTGTGTGTGTGTGTGTGTGTGTGTGTGTGTGTGTGTGTGTGTGTGTGTGTGTGTGTTGTGTTGTGTACCACTGGTATAGATAAACAAAAGCCTTTATAAAGTTTGGTCAGATTTTAAGTGACGGGAGGCGAGCAGGATGTTGAGTTGCACCCTTTGCCCCGCAGATGCGCCGACGTTCCTGTCGGAGCCTCCCGACGTGGTGGACGTGGTGGTCGGCGAGTCGGAGGAGCTGAACCTGACGGCGCGCGCCAACCCGGGCCCCGTCATCTACACGTGGACTCGCCACGGCCTCCCGCTGCCCGACCCGGTCATAGACGACTCTTGGCGCGACACCTACGCCCAGCACCCCGACATGGGCGGCGCGGGCGGCTCGCGTGTGTCCGCCGAAGGGCCGCTGCTCTACATCCGGGGAGTCACCGTCGACGACGCCGGCGACTACGAACTGGAGGCGACCAACCAGGAGGGAGCGACCGTCGCTAAGGTTTACCTCAACGTTCAGTGTAAGTGTTTTGAGTTTTCTTCTTCATGAGATTGTGTACGTAATATTTTACCCATCCCTACACACACACACGGACACACACACACACACACATACACACACACACAAACACACACACACACACAAAACACACACACACACACACAACACACACACACACACACACACACACATACATACACACACACACACACACAACACACACACACACACACCACACACACACACACACACACACACAAATATGCCTTTAACTCCTTACTTGCCCAGTACACCCTAATGATATGCCCCGATTCGCCTCCCGTGCAGATCCTCCCACCATCAAGTACACGTCGGAGATGGTGACCGTCTCCGAAGGCCAAGACGCCCACCTTGAGTGCGCCGCCGACGGCAACCCGCTGACGGAGGCCATGATGGCTTGGCGCCGCGACGACTACGACTTCACCAAGACGGAGCAGATATTCGGGTGAGTAAGGAAGCGCAAAGGGGAAAAGGGTTGCAATGTGGGTTAAAGTTGAGCAGGGGAGGGTTTGGGGAGAGAGAGGGAGTGGGAGTGGGAGTGAGAGAGATAGATAGATAGATTGAGAGTGAGACTGAGACTGAGACTGAGACTGAGAGAGAGAATGAGAGAGAGAGAGAGAGAGAGAGAGAGAGAGAGAGAGAGAGAGAGAGAGAGAGAGAGAGAGAGAGAGAGAGAGAGAGAGAGAGAGAGAGAACCCCTAATACACAATAAATTCTAACCTCGGCTTTCATCCTCAGGGGGAAGAAGGCGACGCTGACGGTGCTGCGAGCCAACCGAAACGACACCGGCGTCTTCACCTGCGAAGTGAACAACAGCATCGGCAAAGTGGCCACCGCCAACATCACACTCGTGGTGAAGACAAAGCCAGTAGTGGAACGCTCTCAGGTGAGGCTTCGAAACTCTATGTGGAAAGAGGATGTAATTATAAGGGTGGAGAATGGAATGGCGAAGATCCACAAAAAGGATAATGTATTAATAAATAAATTAGTCAAGTGATATGCATTTTGTCGAATTTGTTTTGAATTGAAAGAAAAAAAATCACATGCATGGTACTGAAAACTGTTGATTAATTAAAGAAACAAGAATATCGGAAATACTGTGCGCCTCGTTACGTTACACAGGTTTTACTCGTCCGAAATTGGACAATCCTAAAGGCATTTCCCCGTTTCTCAGCTGCTGGACCGCGCGGCCGCCGAGAAGGGCAAGCGGGGCGAGCTGCGGTGCCTGGCCGAGGGCGCCCCCGACGTCAGTTTCTCGTGGAAGAGGGACGGCCTCCTGCTCTCCAACGGCGCCAGGCCCGACAAATACGAGAACGAGACCGTCAGGGTGAGTTTAGTCTTCCTTTTAGTAGTATTCATATGTCTCTCTGAATGTTAATCGTATTCAATGTTTATTCTACAAACAATGGAACATTTAAAGTAGCTCATATCTTTTTGAAAAGCGAAATAATTACTTTCTCGTCCATGAATGAGTACCCCCGGGCACAATGCATAATCTAACTAAGGAAACAGAATATGCCCCCAAATACTCACACATTATCTGTCTGTCCGTTTACTAATTGTGCATATTAATTAACTATTCTCCCATACATAATGAACTGTACGTTTCGTTATTATGGTATTTATATTGAGCCTCGCCCTAATCTCTCCCTCCAGACGGGGCTGGTGTCCTGGGCGTCCACCTTCTACATCAGGAACGTGCACGAGGACGACTACGGCCGCTACGAGTGCATCGCGGAGAACGAGCTCGGGGCGTCCACCTTCACCGTGCGATTCATCAAGCCCACTCGCCCCGACCCACCGCTGTCTCTCAAGGTGGGTTCTGGGGATCCTGGTGGGCTCTAGTGGTTGAAAATAGGTTCTTCATGAGGTCTGGTTGGTCCAAAATATGTCCTGGTGGGTTCAAATGCATCCTAGTGAGTTCCGGCGGGTTCAGATAGGTCCTGATGAGTTCTGGTGGGTTCAAATGGGTCCTGGCGAGTGCCGGTTGGTCTAAAGTATGTTCAGATGAGTTCTTGTGTGTCTAGATGAGTTTAGTTAAACTCCTGGTGAGTTTAGTTAAGTATTTTAGGTTCTAGTGGATTTTCGTGTGTCCTAGTAGATCCTAGTAGATGCTGGTAGCCAACAGGAAACCTCTCTTTATC